GTTACACACAATGACACCAAAAAGAACCACAAATAAAATGCAATTAAACGGTATCTTTCTTGCCAAAGCCCAAACCAGAGTTACTGAACCCCCAGCTCCAGAATGTCTGATAGGGATGGATCTTGGTCGGTTTCGATCTAACTGAAAATCGAAGCATCGATTATTGGTTAGCCGAAACATACGAAAAATCTCACCAAACACCGATTGAAATAGACTTTTGGTTAACCGGCCAACCGATTGAACGGTTTTCGACTTTTGTGCGTTTAGCCGCGACATTGAAAAATTGATGGTGGTGTCAGTTTAAACAGGTAACCGATCCAACCACACCCTAATATGGGTAAAAAAATAAGTAAAATCGGTAACCGACGAACGATGTTGCTGGACAGGGGGGCACTGGGGCAAGGGACGACGTACGAAGGCGCGGGGAGAGGCGAAGGGACGGAGGAGAGGGGCGGGCAGGACGGCGTGGCGTCAAACGCGATGGGAAGGAGGCGGAGGTGAGGCGCGGGATGGAGGTGGAGGCGAGGCGGACGACCAACAGAGATCTCGTCAAGGATGGAAGCGCGGCACGTGGAGATGTTTTGGTCAAATTTTCGGCTTTTTGCCATTTAGGGTTCGAAGAGGAGAGTGGAGATGATAGATAGAATTTGGATGAAGGTTAAGTGGGTCTCGATTGGGGCCAGGTAACCGCAGTTAATCACCGTCTGTTACTCGGCTAACAGACCCCTTCCTTTTCCCATCCGAACACCGACTCTCAATGTAATCCATCAGTTTTTGGTTAATTGGTAACTAATCGGTTTTCAATTTTAACCGACAGTTACCCGCTAACCAAAAACTGTACCCAACCCTAATGTCTGGATAATAGGATTAGGTAGTGCTGGCAAACGGTAACCCGGTAATCAGTTTACCTTTTTACCGAACCGGTAACCGTCGGTACACGGTAAACCGATTACCGTCGGTAAACGTAAACCGATTACCGTCGGTAAACGGTAAACCGATTACCGTCGGTAAACGGTAAACCGATTACCGTCGGTAAACGGTAAATCGATTACCGTCGTTATCGGTATTTGGTTGCGCGTGGCGACGATCCAATTTACCGGACACAGGCTCGGTATTTACCGACGGTAATTCGGTAATACCGATACCGAACCAGTTAAGGCATTAACATATAACATATACATCATTATTCACAAATATAAAATATTACATACATGAATGTAAGTATAGGCCTAAAAAATATTGTAAATAAGAGATAATAATAAATTATTAATTACAAAAATGATGAAAAAAACTCAAAAAAATCAAAATATTACAACATCACCTCACTTCCAGAAATTCGGTTCGGTAAATATTCGGTCAACCGACCGAAAAACTGCCCGAAATCGCTTCTCACGGTATTTCAGTAATACCGGTTTGTAACCTTTTACCGGTAATTCGGTAATCGGTAAACCGTTTACAAACCGCTATCGGTAATCAGTAACCAGTTTGGCCAACTTCGGTATACCGAAACCGGTAAATTCGGTAAACGGTAAATTATTTACCGACCAAATCCCACCCCTAGGATTAGGGATTGGCATGTGGGTGGGTGATCCACGGTTTGACATCGAGCCACATGCAAATAACTCAAATCTCAGTGGATAAATGATTTATATGGGTGGATTGTGGATCAAGAAATCTCATACACAGACTTAATGGTGGGTGATGGCTAGTAACTCGCAACCCATCTTTACATTGAAATGATTTTTTATTTTATTTATACTAACGATTAGTTATCATGTTTTTTTTTACCAGTCAATGCACATTGACCATCGACTTCTATAGGCGGATAATAAAGAATATTTTTGGGATACTACTATTGGGATACAAATTATAAACTATTAATTGTATCTTAATCGCTAAAAAGTAATAACGTGAACTTTCTCTTGATAATTGGATGATGAAGTACTAGGCATCTCCATAGAGGACAAATAGGTTGGAGGTGTCCAGATTATTTAATGCGATCTTATCAATCTTTAAGGAATTTATTATAAATGTTAGTCAACTTGTCTAACTGAGTAGTTGAAAAATTGCGTTTGCGTTAACCGACAACACAACCGCAACTATTCGCCACCCATCCAACCTAATTCAAAGTATCAACTCGTTAGTAAGCAGGCGGGTCACTTTAAATCCCCAAACCCACCCAACCACTCATTGCTCAAACCTAATTAGAGTAACCTAAAAGGAAGAGCAGAATAATGAATGAATGAATGCATTGGCTGTGGTGCGGGGGAACTCATCGAGAGCAGAGAGCCCCTGGGGCTGGCTCTAAGCAATAAACCCAGAGATCTATTGGAATTCGGAAGCTTCACAATCTGGAAAAGGGCTGCACGCTAGCTAGCTAGCTAGCTAGGGTTTCTTTTTCCCTCCTGAGGATTAGTTATTAGTACTGTTTTTGAAGCATGCACGTTTAGGACAGATCTGGAAATTGCATTTTTCTTATGAAGCTGTTGGTGTCGTCTTAATCTAATGCCTCTCTCTTGGTTTGTGGAGATATGAAGATTCGCGAGTCAGAGGGAGATAAGGGCTTTGTTTTGTCTCTCTCTCTCTCTCCCCAAAGCCTGTGTATGTTTGGCAGTGAGAATGAGCTTTCCTAGTTTTACTTTTTACTTTTTACCCCTCCCATCCCTTCTCTCGCATCGCATCGTCATTTTCCCTCGGTAAAAACAAAGACAAATAAGAATTGAAGCACTGTGTGACACAATTTGACCTTGTTACTGTACCCACACATGTTAGCCTTAGCTAGTTGAAAAATGCTATATTACCTCCCTCCCTCACTGGAAAGGTCTTATTATTACCACTCCTGCAAACTTTCTCTTTTCTATAATTACCATTCTTTCTGGAAACTTGAATCAACCCGTTTTTACCTCAACTACTGCTAAATCGAAAAGCTGACGATGATGAGATTATAGAAAGAAATGATAGCTTTATTCATGGAGTCGTATTTGGTTTCCTCACAAATACAGTAGTGTACTACAACCAAATTAACGTTGAGGGAGAAAATACATCCCGACCAATGACTATAGTATTGAAAGTGTGTCTGTAAGAACATGCTCACGACATCACGTGATCGTCGGATCAAGGCAAACACTTCGTAACTATTGGATGAACGTGATAGTATTTTTGTGAATAAAATGCATCAAGTCCATCCAATGATTGCAGAGCATCCACTCTCAATCAGACGAATACGGGACACTGTGAGCACGATCTCACGTACAACCTCCTGAACATACTAGAAAAATTGGAGAACAGACCAACTGGGAGTTTCGACCGTTTGACAATATTCCTAGATAGCGAACTTTGATACCACCAGAAACCAGCAAATATAAGAAAGCAAAGATGCACCAGCTAGTGGGCAGTGGTAGAGCAAATTATTGAAAGATAAACATGCGCAGGCAGGCAGGCAATGGGGGATTCCACTGATTTCTCCAAGCCAATTATTCCCAATAATGTTGCCTTATATTAACCCTAACCCATGATGCTCCATAATTATTGCGCACCCAATTTCACACAGCGAAAGTAGTGCTGCTCTCTTTTGCCTAATACTTGCCTGTCCATCATTTTCCAGCTATAGTTTCAACAGCAAATCAACTAGCTAGCTACTTCTATATAACATCTCATGAACGTTAAGCTTATCAAGTCTATGTACGATAAAAGTACATAATGTTCATTCCACTCAAATACGTAATTTCCCTAATTTCATATCATATTAGAGTCTTTTGTGTACTCTTAGCCAGTAGATTTAAACGTATTTGCTTTGTGTACAAACTACCACCAACACAGTTTAACAACTAAAACACATGAGAACACAATCCAACAACACTAAAATCAAATATTGCGGCAGTAGCTGGACATAGTTCATACCTTTAAAACGTATTTTAAAAAGAGACACGTCCGACTGTGGATAAAAGGAGAAAAGCAAGTGTTGATGATGACAAAGGAAAATATGGGTGTAAAAAGGACAATCTAAATGAGCCACCCTCCAGCTCTCCTTTGGCTTTACCCCACACACGCATACAACAACAACAACAACAACTCATCACAGATCGATTAGTCAGATACTGTAATTATTATTATGCTTTTCTCAAATGTTTTGAAAAATGGACCATGTACATAAGCAAGAGCAAGAGCAAGAGCAAGAATGAACTATACACAGCCAACTTTAAACAAAGCGGCTTCTTTTTTGGACCCAGCATACCTGGTTTCACATTTTTGCCGCTGCTGCTGCTGCTAATCGATCTAATGTCCTTACAAAATGTTTTCATATACCTACTTGTTGTATGTTGTGAATTGTTTTCATTCTTATTACTATCTTTAAATTATTATTCTGCGAGACAGAATAAAAGGAAGCCCTTTGCCTGCACCTGTTGGACAACTGGCCTTGTTCCCTCCCAGTGGCACAATTCAGGACAGATGTCATTCTCTTTTTCTTCAGATTGATGGTGATATCAATTTTGGTACATCAGATTACCAGTCCAAAGGACAATGTGAGGTAAACAAAGTAAAAGACAGAGAAAGTTTACCACCTTCGACACACATATTTTACTTTTTACTCCATATTTTGTCAGATCATCCAGAAGATCTGATTTGGCTGATAATGTTGTAGTTCAAATTGTTATGTTAATGGAAAATTTAACGGTTCAATTCTATATTTTTTATATGAATGTCGCACTTTTTCTCGCAATAAAAGACAACGACCTTGGGGTAGAGAGATTCCAAAAGGGTTATTGGCTAGAGGCTGTAATGGTCATGATTACCCTAATTAAGGTAGTAATTAGGCTAACCAATGAGATGGTGGGGCTCTAAATTGTGAACTCCAATACTGTTGTAGAGCCATAGTGGCTTCGTAAAACCTACTGGTAATTATGCAAGTGGGAGTGAAGGAATCCCAAGAAAGGAAAGGAAAGGAAAGGGGGAATTTAGAGTTTGGCATGTTACTAAACTAAAGCAAGACAAAGCTAATGTGCACAGAGGACCATTAATTTCCAAGGGGGCATACCTTCTTAGGGATTTACAAATATTCCTACATATCTTCCTCCTCCTATCCTAGTATGGTGTGGCTACTACTACAAAACCACCGCTACCCACATTGTTCACTGACATTTGCCTTGAAATCTACAAACCGAGCTCGGCTCCTACTTGTTTTATATTGGGAAATTCACAGTGAAAATCAGGAGGAGTGTACTTGAATGAAAGAAAAAAGATAAAGAGCTGATGTTACAAGGAGAAAAGAAAAGATGGGTCTTCTTTACTTTTGTTTCCCTCTTTTGCTTTTTTTTTTTTTTTATATATATATATACGGGTAATAAAGGAAAAAGGCCCATAGATCGTAGCGGGAATGGAAAGGATGCACATCAAAGAAAAAAAGAGACGTTCCCGTCCCACACGAAGAAAGGTCCAGAAAATTTTGTACCTCCTTTTCCAATAGCTTGCTTGTTGCTTCTTTACTGGAGCCCAGCCCGTTGATTTCAGTGCTGCCATCATGTCCACTTATTCCACTCGCAGAACACAAAAGTTTGGGCATTTCCTCTTTCATTTGAGCCCATTCAAGTTGGGCTCGTTTCTCCCACCAGGCACCAGCTCGTCAGGCTCCGTCCGTGGGCCCACATGCACAGCTCTGCTTTACATTACTACAGAAAGCGCCCAAGTAAAAGACTCGAGAGTGAGCACGCCAGAAAACGACGCCTACATCCAGCAGAGAGAGAATGCCAGAAAAAAACAGGCCTCACCATTCTTGGCGAAATCAACCATGCACTTCGGTTAATTTACAGCTTATGCTGATATTGTCATTTGCCACGATGCACCAGCTTAGCAACTGCATCGATTTTCTTTGTTATCGACGAAAGCAGGTCGCTTGCCCCATTGTGAAATTCAGCTTCGGGTCCGTTTGCGAACAGATGCAGTGCGTTCTCAGCTGCGGTGTCCAATTTCAGTAATGCTTCTATGCACAGTGATACTCTTTCCTGCAGCAGGACGTCACTTTCCTCCGAGCTACTTTCTCTTGTCATATCTGAAGCTTCTTCCTCCGTGATGCAGTTTGTGGAATCATCTTGTGCAAGGCTCTGTGATCTGTTATGAAACACCTGAAGAAGAGCCTTACCATTCAATTTGGCGCCATGCAACAAATGGTTATGAAAAATCCACACCAAGAAACAACTAGGATAAACCTGTGTGGAAGACATTACCAGATTTCCTTTCGGACACTTGATTAGTGGATTTTCCGAGTGAATATGAGTGCCATCATCTTCAATATCCTGGCAAGTGTTACGACCAGAATCTCGGAATGGTGTGGCAAAGAGTTTCTGGGACAGTGCAGGATTGTCCCGCCGCACCACGTACCTTGCAGAGTAACTTCTTCTCACTGATGATTTAGATTTAGAGCCTTCTATCTGCATGCAGGGGAAATGCAAACGTCCATCAGAGTTGGAACGCTACAAGTTCTTGTGCCAAATGCAAATGGCACCAATCGTAGAATTCTCTTTGTTTCCTGTGTATCAGCTCATAGGGGACAGTATATACCTTAGTGGCTGTTGATAAACTACCAAAGTGTTGCTTGAAAATTGCGCTCTCTTCAGTTATGCCCTCACGTGCTTGGCTTTGGGATCTAGCACCATCTATGAGTGCTTTATCCTTCTCTGCAGTAACCAACACGATGAGCACTTTTGACTTAAGCTTCGCTAAAAATCACATTCCTCTTCAGGATATCCTTAATTGCAGATGCAGTGGCAAAAAGTACACTTTTCAGATTTGTGCTTAGCCTTACCAGAGCTTGATGATGAGACTGGCATATTTAAATCCATTGATCGCTGCAGTTCTGGAGAATTCAGTATATGACACACGGTATAAACACTAAGCCAACGTTTGTCCATGACAAATTGACTGAAAGAAAAAATTCGAAATCGTGACCATCAAATCAAGCCAAGAAAGCGTCAAACATTGTTACTTCAAAGAACAGATGTAGGTTAATAAATATAGTGGGTACCTCAGGCTTTTACGTGGCACAGGCTCAATTCCCCTTTCAGTTGTTCGAGCAGAATCTGAAGACGAGCTACTTAAGCAGGACTTCGTGCTACATATATCAAGGCTAGGAAGAGGAGACTGAACTTCCAGGTACAGATGATCAGATTCTTGGCCGTCACGTGTCAGTGGGGGGGAAAATTTCAATTCAACCTGCTCCTGGTTCGACTAATAGAAACATCGAAAACATCAGATCCAGAGCCAATCATCCACTGGCAATTCTAGTGACAAAGGTCTGGTTTTCTAAGTACCTGAGATGGCGAGCAAATGGGATTTATTTGAATGCTACTGGAGTCTGCAAGTCTAGATTGCGCCCACTTTGGAAGTCGTGAAATGCTAAATCTGAACGTTGGGGTCCTTTCATGTGCAACTCCTTCACAAAAAACATCTTGTTTATCTTCAGCATCGACTCTGAATGTCAGGCTGTCTTCTTCATGAAGCATGATTCGAGTAGAGGGTAATGGTAGCTCGAACTTTCTGGGAGACAGCGGTGGATAAATTTCTTTCATTTTATGCAGTATCCTGTAGCTCATACGAGGAGGCAGTTTCCAGACGAAGATGCAACCATCACCAGCAACCTGAGTTTGCAGCAACCCATTAACGAATGCACGCCCATATAAAATTATGATGGGAGAAAGAAGAAAATCAGTATATAAAACGAAGTCCTTGTTTGATCAACAGTTGAAAGTTGGACAAGGCGAACAAGAAAAACCCACGGATACTAAATGCTTGCAGTCGGGTAAAAAGACGACACCGGTTACTATTTCACCATGTCCCATGGCCTGAGTGACCATTTCTCCGGTCATTGAATCGTAAACGCAGATACTCTTGTTCGAGTAAGAGCAAACCAGATAGCTGCAGCTTGGATCCATAATAACCTATAAACATGATCAGACTCGGTCAGTTTACATTCAAGCTTGTGCTCCACTGATGTAACTCTGAATTACCTTTATAGGGTCTCCAAAATCCTTATCTTGCTTGAAAGATCTCACCAGCTTTCCAGATGCGGCATCAAATGTGTTTATCTTCTTGTCCTATGAAGAAATCAAAAGCTTTGATGTCCATATTATATTCTTCTGTTCACATGCTGACATGCAGATGTTGAAGTTTCATAACGTAATTTTACCTGGCCAACTGTGACAACAAACTCCATTTTTGGATCAACAGCCATATCGTACACAGTTCCATTTGATGCCATTTGATGATGACGCCTAAAAATCTTACAGCCAGTGTCTGACAAAAAAACGTCCCGGAACACCAAAGACCTGTAGAAGCAAGTAATATCTGACAACTAGAGACCGTACAGTTGCTCCAGAGACGCTCATAATTTGCTTGGAGAATAATAAATTTGCCTAGCAGCCTTCTAAGATAATGGTGATAATAAATTTTCGTGATGCTCATTCCAAATTAAAGGGGTGGCGTACCTATCAGCGCTGCAACTGATAGCCTTACAGCCCTCTCTATCGAGCTTCACGCAGGTCACGGCAGCTGAATGGTCATCAACACTTGCAATAAGATCAAAGTTCCTGCCAAAATATTCCACTTGGAATGAAAACTTGAGACTCTTTCAAGGCGGAAGTCATTGACACAAGTCCGACTTATGAAAAAAATGGATGGAAGTTTGAGCACCTTTTGACATCATAAAGGTGGATAACTCGATCCCTTCCCCCTGACACAAGCAAGTAATTGCCAAGATCATCTTCTTGACGATTAACGTGTTCCTCATGTGGCACGCTGAAGCTCAGTGATAGGATCTCTGCTTGGTGAATATCCTGTCAAGATGGTAGTTGTACACACTTAAACTAATTAAATTTTTTTTCTTCGGCTTAAATTTTTGAAGGAAATTATGTGATGGCTGATTTTTTTATACCTGTACGCATGTATACTGAGAAGTGCAGAGATTGTAGATGTGGAGGCTTCCCTCGCTATCACCAGCAGCTAGGTACTTACCATCTGAACTAACAGCCATGGACCGAAGCCCCTGACTGCTCACACCCATACCCAAGGTATCTCGCTCAAAGATCCCAGTACTTACTATTGTCACACGGAGAAAGAGACAATTTAAGGAATGCTTCACATATTCTGTAACCCCCGGGGGGTGAAACGTACTAAGAAATAGTTGTAGAATTACCAACGCAAGAGGTGCTTATCGGTTCATTTGGAGCATGTAATTCAGAATCGTCATCCCCAACAAATTGAGGCTGTGGTTCAAGATCCCACAACCTGATAGTGCCATCTGCTGAACAGGTAGCAAAAGAAACTCCAGCCAGACATCCTCTAGCAGCGCATCCAAGAGAAGGGTCGTGCATATTTTCACAGCAGAGGTTCTTGATATCCCAAATACAGGCTGAGTGAGAAACCAGCATCCAACACCTGGTGGCCTGCATGAGAATGAGGCTATGATCTATGGTTTATATTTGAGGTCCCAAATATATCAGGACTAGTTCATTGAAGGGAGATTGACATGGACAATTTCATACAGCACATACCTTGCTTACATCAAGAACATCCCATATATAGAGACTATGGTCAGCATAAATAACGACTGAAAAAACAGAGGAGTTAGGTTTCAGTTATGACAAAAATGAATTTCCTATGTAGAGAAGACTCTTAGACGCGTACCCAACTTCTCCGAGGCAGAGAATTGGCAAGCAACAGCATCAGGCGAGGAAGGAATAGACTCGTCCCCAATGACTTCAGTTTGATCATCACTTGGTTCATCAAAAACTTTTGGCTTAGAATGTAGCAGACTTCCAGCATAAGTGAGAGTCTCACTGGTAAAGAGTCTCACGATTCCACTACAACAAGCACAAGCAATAAGCCTACGGGAAGCAGATAGTGCAAGACCTTTCTCAACCTGCAAATCATTGTTTGAGAATCATGAATTAACTTATGGAGGTGAAATTAAGAAGATATGTTTTTCACATTCGACAACTTGGCCTCGTCTGAACAGATAATGAGGAACCTAGACACTTAGCCACCCAAATATACCTTCAACTCCGCGGACCTCACTACTGACAAACCATTGTCTATGACACATAAGACACCTGCCAAATGCAACAACCACATTCAGAAACAACGGGACAAAGTACCGGAAGAAACACACTTCGGTTCTTTTTGGGTTAAAGTAAAGACACCTGACCTTCAACAGTTAACGCATAGATAGAGAACATAGTCGACCCAATTGGTTCGGCATTTGCAGAACTAGTGACACACACGAACGAGCTCCCTTTATGAGGACCAAGATTGACAGGCTTCCCTTGAATCATCGGTGCCGCCCCTGCTACTGAAACTGTGCTCAATCGAGTACTCTTCTTTGGTGTTAAACCAACTGTCCAGAATTTCAAGTGCTTCTTTCCAGCAGTAACAATGAATTTCCCGTTGGCTGTGAAGCTAACAGATGAAATGGCGGATGAACTTGCTTTAAGTTTCGCCACCAGCACACCCTTCTTCCAATCCCATAGATTTATATATCCTCCAACAGACACCAGGCGCTCACCTTGAAGATCAACACAATTAAAGCCAAATAAGAAAACACATGTGAATAACTGCCAAGTCCAATTTAAACCACCAAACAGTCCTGCTTTCCACCATTACTAACCATCGGGTGAGAAAGCAATGCATTCCACTCCGCACACATGGCCACTTAGGTCAGACAAAAAGGAACCAGTCAATCGTTCCCATACTAGTACTGCAGGTTGATTTCCTGACTACAAAATCACGATGAAAACCGACATTACAGTACACGTAACTAAAATCCTTTCTCCTAGGTTCAGCAATCCTCAGTGACTCTAAAATTTATGAGATCGATTCTCGGAAGTACCTCTCCAGCGGCGACCAGTCGTCCGTCTAGAGACATTGCGACGCAGCTCAAGGGCTTGGGAGTTCTATGAGGCGCCAAGAGGCGCGACTGTTGGCCGGAATTGGCGTCGTGGAGGACCACCACGCATCCGGCGATGTAAGCAGATAACGGGGTGGATTCGCTAGAAGCCAATCCATTGGCGTTCTTTGTTGTTAATCCGATGATCTCTTCCAATACAAGCTGCAACTCAGAAGCGGAATACAGCAGTTTCTTTTTCGTTCAGTAACTAGTTGCAGGCAGGCGGAGTATGGTGTGTCAAAATTCTTACCTTCGATGGCGAATCCGACTTCTTCACTCTGCGGTTCGGCTTCATCTGGGAGAGTGAGAGAAGAGGAGGAACAAAAATGGAGTTATGACGGGGGAGTAAAAATGTGAAGACGTTGAATTTAAAAAAGCAGCTAGGCGGGGAAATCCGACTGCTTGGAAAATTGTTTCGCTGATTCTGCGGAGAAAGAGTAGGGCCCAGCCGTTGGATCGGAGTTCGGACCCCCTCAAGGCCTGAGTGGGAAAATGGCCCTTTTTTGTTTTCGGATGAACCAAAACCAATTTAACCAGTCTAACGCATTGAAATCCAAATTCTTTGCAATAGAATATAGGGGGTGGGCAAACGGTTCGGCAAACTGAACCAAAAACTAATTAAACCGAACCGAAATCGAATTAATGTCATTCGGTTCGGAATTCGGAAGGAAAATATGGATAGTTCGGAAATCAGGGTTCTTTCAACCGAACTGAATTTTTGAATTTCCGACCGAAAAACCGATATACTATAATTGCAAGCTCCAAATGGTGGATTTTTATGTTTGTAGTTGTTTTTAGACTTAAATATTTGAAATGTTTTATGACTTATGTGTTGAAAAGTTTGGTTTTATCATTGATGATGCATATAATTGATATTTATTGTTTATATTAGGGGTGAAAAATAATTTAAAAGTGAGAATATACAAGTAGCTTCATAAATTCGGTTTTGTGTGAAAGTGCGAACCGAACTGAATTATAGTTCGGTTTAAATCGACCGAACCAAATTATAATTTGGTTCGAATTTGGTTTGAGGTTTGAGAGAATTTGGGGACCCGGTATTCATAATTTCGGTTCGGTTGAAAACGAACTGACCGAATGCCCACCCCTAATAGAATAGAGGGTTTGTTCTAGTGGTTTTATCGTAAGTACTTAATCTGAAAATTTCAAAGCTCATGTATTAAGAAATAATCACTAATTTATCTTAATATGTTCAACCTATCATGCACATTAAAGCGATGGATCGATGATGCTTGCATCATAGATAGCATTATCTCAGGAAGGAATTACTCTAGCAAGGTTTTGTTGCCTCGTCCACTAAAAGGAATCGTAGGATCATTCATCTACCTTTAGTTAGCCTTAAGACGTTCAAATCCAGTCCAACCCTAAAACTCCCACCTAGTTCTAAAACTTAGTTGTACGATAGTAGGGAAGAGTTGGAGAGACAAGCCCCAGCATAATCAAACATAAATGAAGCATATAATCACTAAAACAAAAAAAAGTTCATACACAAACCCTAACAAAAAGCATATCTACATTCAAAACATAATTCTAGGGTTTGGGGGTGTTAACCCGTAGTACCTTAGAGGACTACTCCATAAAGGAGGGAAGAAGATATATGTAGAGAAATAGAAAAATGCTTGAATTGGGGATAGCTCCCTTCCTCCTTGACTCCCTCTTTTCTTCTCCTTACTTCAACTTCTCTTTCTCAAATCAGAAAATTCTCAATTTATTTAAGCTCTCCAAATGAGGGGGGAGAACCCCTTATTTATAGATTTTAGGGTCTCGGTCAAGTTCACGGTCAAACTGGGAAGTTCGCGGCCCAACTTCACGATTGCGTTCCGTGAGTCGTGGCCGCGATATTTCTCGTAGGCTCAGATGAAGAAAGTCAGTCGGCTATCAAAACTTTATGTTCCTTCCTTGTTGCTTGCTCCAAGAGTTCACGCTTGAGGACTTCGACTTCGCGGGCTGTGATCTTGGCTATGAAGGCTATAATCTCGGTGCCTAGCTTTGCATCCTCAATGTACGGGCATGATCTTATGTTTTGCACATTTTTCTACACTTGTGCCCTTTTTTGGTACCTAAAACACTCATATCATCTAATACACCATAAAACACTAATATTTTCTCCAAGGAACGAATAAAGGGTATATTTGACGATATATTAACCATGAAAACCATAAAATAACTCCAAATGAACCTAATATGGGCTCTAAATAACACCATTTTGGGTGTTATAAGTTTGTCTGGATATGTTTTGTGACTTTTTCTTATGATGGCGATCCCACCAAAGGTGACAGGTTTATTCTATTAGCCCTCAACAACGAAAAAACTGGAACCGCCTATCGATGAGAAGAACCACAAGTTCCAAGAGAAGGACCATGACCTCAGATTGAGGAGAAACTACAACAAACACAACAAAGCAACCCATAAAGGTGTCTAGGGACTATGATGGACCATCCTCTCAAGCAAGAGTCTTTGAAGTGCAACTACCATATGCTCCAACCAAATATCAAAGGCAACTTGGCATTCCAGGGCCGATTTCTTACTTTTTTCTCATTCATTTTATTCAACTTTGATTAATAATTTAGATACTTAGTAAGTGTAATAATAAAGTGTTTCTGGTAGATTAGTTTATATATTTTGTGTATGGATAACCCTTTCTTCCTCTCTTATGTGTGTTTGAATGTCAAGCTTCTAGATCAATGAAGGCCTACACTTGTGCACCTACACCAACCCACCAAAACACCCTATGGTAACTCTTCATGAACCTACCTTTATCCTTCCGCATTGAAGACAATGTGACTCTTAAGTGCGGGGGATGTACATGTATGTTTGAATGATTCATGGTGAGTTTGCCATGGTTGGTTGTAGCTTCCCTATGATTATGAATGTAAGACATTGATGATTGTTCGTGGGAGTGTTTGTTATTGGTTGAATGTGTTTTGGGGTGTTGAATAGCTTATAATTTGTGTTTGGGTCCTTGATGATATACCCAATTTTTTTCAAATTTGAGGGTTCCAAACATCATGTCCCTAATCTACCTCCTCAATTTGCTTCGAATTGTTAGATAGTCGATGTGGTGTGCTTTATAGGGAGTAGTTTGCATTTACAAGAGTTGTCGATGTATGAGGGGGTTTACTCATATCTTCTCTTTGGTGAGTTGATAATGTTTTCTACTTAGGTAAAGACATGTGTGTGGGACTTTCTACCAATTTTGGACTAAAAACGTTCTCAAAATGTGCCCAACTTTGAAAAAATCTTTTGAAAATTTAAGGTTCTCACATGAGAGGCAACCATAAATAGTGTTTGATTTGAGCCGTGAAAGGACTTGTCTCTTTGATTGTTAGAATTACACCGAAAGGAAGAAGGTTACACTTGCTGCTTGTGAATTTGGGAGCTACGCTGGCGCTTGGTGGGATTGAGCATCAAGAGAAGGAAAATTGGTTTACCTCTAGTAGCTACGTGGTTAGAGATGAGGAGTCTGATGAGGGAGCTTTTCATGTCTTCCTATTACCAGCGAGAACTTCACGATGGTCTGCAACTTCTTCGTCAAGGGAGTCATAGTGTTAAAGACTACTTCCGGGAGATGGAAATCATCATGATTAAGGCTGATGTACGTGAAGACAAGGAGGCCACCATCAACAGATTCTTGTAGGGTCTCAATCAAGACATCAAGAATCAAGTAGAGTTGTTTCCCTTTGTGGAAAATGAACAAGTCGTCCAACTGGCTGTGAAAATAGAGAAGCAGCTGAAGCTAAATTTTGGAAGGGGTTTGAGGTTTACTGGTCTGATCGGGGTCCGACCGATTTAAGCCACTGTAGATGATTTCTAAATATATATACAAATAAGGTAGTAATTAAAGATTTAATTACTGAAATGAAATTTATCTTACATGTATTGATAACACCAAAATCGGTGTTATTTACCCTCCATCTTAGGGTATGTTTTGTGCCAATTCATGTGCTTAAGCGTTTAAACATTGTCAAATACATCTATATTTCGTTCTTATTTGATTTGATGTGATTATAGGGTGTATTAGTCAATATGTGCAAATTAGGTACAAAACAAGGTCACAAGTGTAGAAAGGGGCAAGGATCAAAGATCGTGGCCTAAAAGCAAAAGATCACGACCGGGATCTGCAGTCGTGAAGGCTCGCTGAAGATCTCGGCCCAGAAGCCAAAGATCGCGACCACGATCTTGGAGCCCCAGGGCGTGAACTTCGCGAGGAAGGAGCCATGGAGGAGTAGAGAATTTCCCCTTCTATTTCTACCATGTATCTTCTTCCCTCCTTTATGGAGTAGTCCTCTAAGGTACTAGGAGTTCTAAACCCCAAACCATAGTTTTAGGGTTTATTATGTATGTACGGATATTTTAGGGTTTGAATGAATGAATGTGTTTGTCTAGTAGATTTTTAATGTCACTCTTTCCTAAATGATGACGCTTGGGCAACTGACCCCAATCTTCCAACTTAGCCTGCTTTATGCTACCGCACTGGGTACAGAGTTTTAGGGTTAGATGGGTATGCGTCATCTGGCGAGTTTGGGTTAGATGAGTGAATGGGGGCCTATAATGGTCGAGGCGACCGAACCACTGCTATATGTAGTCTTCCTAGATGAAACCCGGGATGAAAACTCGGTGTGGACGGCGGATAGTGTCCATTGAAATGAGCCATAAGCTTAAAGCCCCAGATACGATAGCCTAAGCCGAGGTGACTGAAACATGGGTTTATGGGAGGCGTACTCGGAGGCATGTGCATAACAACGAAGGCCCACGGAAAAGAGCTCACTCACCACATTCGATAACCCTAAGTATCTATATATGCATAGTATCCCTAAGCTAGGGGATAATTAGTTCCCCGAAGTACCTGCTTTTAGCTTTGATCAACCTCTAGACTAGTATTTCCTCATATCCTCCACTCAAATCCTCAAAAACCGATTACCTAATTAACAACAAGGTGGGAAGTAGACTAGGGTACCAAGACCCGAGTAGAATACGACCTTGGTTACCACTATACGGCAATGTCATCCTAGGTTAAACTTGGCTTAGGATGGGATAGTTGCTGATATGTGCAGACCACTGACAATAACATGTAAGGATTCAAGTGATCAAGCTTTTTGGTGCCGTTGCTGGGGAACCTTGGTAACTAGTAGAAAACAATTAAGTTGTTAGTTAGTCTTTATCTTGTTTTGTGTGTTTTGTTTTATTTTGCGTCCTTATTTGTGTGTTTGTTTTTTTTTTTCGTGCTTTGTTTTTCACCCACTCTTCTCCCCGAAGGGTGGTTGTGTGTGTTTGATTGTCTTTTTAGTGTTTTTGTTGTTTGTAGTTTGTGAATAATGGATCCATATTGTTGGAACGAGGAGTGGGGAGATCACCAACCGCCGAATTGGTGGTATCTCAAAGCTTCTAGTAGCTGGGGTAGCCAAGGATCCCGGTTTCATGAACAACCACCTCTCCAT